ACAAAGGCGACAGCTTGATTGATTGTTCCCATCTAAAGTTTTTGAGCGATTATCTAGTGAGAGCGGTGCATGTATTAAAATGTGTTTGGACCGTCAAACATGATAGATCTCAATCTCACACCAATCAACATAATGTGCCGTTGCTAATTTTATCAAATGAATAAAGGCTGCTGTAATTGCTTCTCTTGGTCAATTAATAAGGCTAGTTTTTAAAAATTGCTGTTGCCCTGGTTGCTCCCATTTGAATTTGCCCCTTCGAGAAGGACTCGTATGTAACACTTTTTCCATTGCATACATGAACCGGAGTTATTATTCAATATCCCTACCGGTACGAGGAATATATTATAATCTGAGTTGGCTAGCATATATTAAGATTTTAATCAACTCGAGGCCTTATTTGGGTAAACAGTCTTATGAGAAGAAAGCAAGGTCGTTCTATATTTCATCCGTCCATATTTATGCTTCGATTTTCCGAGGTACTGCCTTAATGCTTTATTTGGGAAGGAGGGGAATAGGAGGAAAATGAAGTAAATTTTTGTAACTTTTGTGAGAAGACATAAGAGGGAAATTCAAAATTCTTCTCTCTTCCTTTCCTCCATGTATCCAAGCAAAGCACTTTTCCTTTATCAAGATGGTGCTTGCTTGCTTGCTAACAAGATCTTTTTTGCATGGAACTTCGCTAGACATCCAATTGACGCACATGATGTGTCCGTATATGTGGCAAAACATGTCATGGAGACGAACACGTGAAGTTGATCCTTGGAAGGCTGAGGTTTTACGTGACATAGCAGCTCAGTCATCCAGATACTATTTGTTTCCTTCCTCCTCTAGTGTGTGCTGTCTATTTGTTTTAAGAGGAGGAGGATCTGATGCCACGAAGGAGATTATAGACCAACTAATGGACTAGTTTAAAAAAGAAAGGGATTCTACCACACACAGCTTGAAACAAATAATAAGAGGAGTCCAATGTGTACATATCTAAAGTGCTTGGCATCATGGGCCTGGAATTTTTTATTTTGTCGTGGATTCTCTTTTGCGGGTATGAGCCAACAGCTTTTGTAATCTCTTGAAAATCGGAGTATCATAATCACATTCAGGTCCCCACATTCATATAAAAGAACAAGGTGAGCACAAAACCTATTGGTGGATGAGGTGATAAGGGTTTTAAGGAAGTTCAATGGAAAACCCGTAAGAAGTTTCTTGTATTTTACGGGAGAAATTCATGGTCACTTCATGACCCTTTCAGGCGCGATTTGCCAAGTGATTTTCGTGGAAAAGGTCTTGAAATTGAAACTGAAACCAGCTCAACGTATAATATTTGAAAAAACGTTGCATCTAAATAGATCTTCTGTCATCCAAAATAAACCAAACATTCATTTCATCATTTAAATAGGCAACGCAAGAAAATATTTCACTAGTGGACTTTACACAACGACATACATGCAATTAAAGAACCGATGTTTAGGCAATGACCCATATTCGATTTTTACTTTTATTAAGCATTTCCATTCCATAAATGAATTAGTATTCTATTTGTTCAGGTAAACAGTTATATAGATGTAGTTGTGATTTCTTTACGTAAAAATCCTATTTTGAAAATGTCAAAAGTCCATCCTTATTGATTGATGTGGGACAAGCTGCGAACAATTTTCTAGAATGGATCAACGGACAAATGAATAAAGTTTAGCCTGACATTTATCAAAGTGAATAGATAAAGCTCAGCCCGCCATGAGTGACAGCTACGAACAGTCTAGTATAAATTATGTAGACACGTATTTTTCATGAGAGCAGGATGGGGCAATTACGGGTACAGGTGAAGAGCATATGCTGAAAATGCATTTGTCCAAGTCTTTAAGTTAGCTTGGGAACTGTTCATGTTAATCCTCCACAACCTCTAACAAAATTCACTACTAACTTCCGGAGATTCTCTGCTCAGCCACACCAATGTCCCAAACTCCTCGCACAGCTTGTGCTTCACATTTCTTTGCCCTTCCGTTTTGCATTCAGCAACGTGATCCTGGGGTCATGCTCGCTTCACCTTCCCATTACAATTCCCCGACAATTCCACTTATTAATGGAAAAACAAGTCCAGTCGAGTCGTGCTGGATCTCAAATTTCAATCAGAATACCTGCATAGGTTCCATGCACCTTCGCATGATGCTGACGAAATTACGCGTGCAATAACTCAGCATTCTTAAGCTCATTGTTCAAGCGCACACAGTAGAAAAAGCAAGGACTAAGAGCATCTTTATTGCAAGTTGGTTTTCTTTTCTACTTTTTTGTTAAAAGAAAAAGCAAGTCAAGTCAAGAAGCACCAACATAGGTTCCCCGAAACTTCCGCAAATGCATTCTTTAAGCACTCAGCAATCAGCAGTGTTCAAGCGCGCCCAGTAGAGAAAAGGGGTTCATAGGGAAGGTCACCGGTGAGGCCAATACCAGTGTCAGTGAAAGTATGGAAACCAACGTAGTTGGCATCATAGATAATAAATAGAGGACAACGGGACGACGAGCTAGGTTTGTGGAAGAAGGAGGAGGAGGATGAATGGGAGGCGTAAAAAGAAGTGAATGACCTACAAGAAAGAGACGAGTGGGAGGCGTGAAAGGAAAGAATAAGAAGGAAAGTGGGACCCATATGAAGAAAAAGAATAAACAAAATAAAAAAGAGTTGACCAAATAAAAAAAATAGGACCATATAAAAATTGTACCAGACATGGTGGGCTTCAAAAGGGATAAGATGGTCAAATAAAAAAAAAGTGATTAATCAATAGGAGTGGAAAAAGCGCGATCCTTAATTAAATGAATAAAGACAGTTGTAATTTCTTCTCTTGGTCAAAATAAAGCCAAATTTTATAACTTGATGTTGCCTGCTTGCTCCTATTGAATTTGCCCCTTCAAGAAGGACTCGTATGTAAGACTTTTGCCATTTTGCACAAACCAACCCGAATTGATATTCAATAAGGGCAATTTTCCTGTTCATATCGCCAATCTATATTTATACAATTTCTTGCAGGTACGAGGAATAATATTGTAATTCGAGTTAGTTAACATATATTAAGAATTTAATCAACTCGAGGCATTATTTGGCTAAACAGTCTTATCTTATGAGAAGAAAGCAAGGCCGTTCTATATTTCATCCTTCCATATTTATGCTTCGATTTTCCGAGGTACTGGCTTAGTGCTTTATTTGGGAAGGAGGGGAAGACGAGGAAAATGAAGTAAATTTTTGTAACTTTTGTGAGAAGACATGCGAGGGAAATTCAAAATCCTTCTCTCTTCCTTTTCTTTATGTATCCAAGCAAAGCACTTTTCCTTTATCACGACGGTGCTTGCTTGAGAAACGAGATCTTTTTTGCATGGAACTTCACTTGACATCCAATTGATGCGCATTGGCTATTACCACAAGATGCTCCGATGAACAATCGATGTGTTCGTTTATGTGGCAAAACATGTCATGGAGAAGAACATGTGAAGTTGATCCTTGAAGGCTGAGGTGTCGCGTGACCTAGCAACTCAGTCATCCAGATACTATTTGTTTCCCTCCTCCTCTAGCTTGTGCTATCTATTTTTTTTAGAGGAGGAGGATCTGAAGGCACGAAGGAGATTATAGATCAACTAATTGACCTGTTTAAGAAAGAAAGGGATCCTACAACACATTGCTCGCTTCTGAGACTGAAAGGAATAATAAGGGAGAGGGGTACCGATGGCCATGTGAGCTTCAAGTTTCCAATTAGTACATAATTAAAGTGCTTGGCATTTTGGGCTTGGAATTTTCTGTTTTGTCGTGGATTCTCTTTTGCCGGTCTGAGCCCACAACTTTTATATTCTCTTGAACGTCAGAAAATCATAGTCACATTCAGGTCCCCACATCCATATGACAGAATAAGGTGAGCACAGCACCTATTGGTGGATGACGTGACAAGGGTTTCAAGGAAGTACAATGGAAAACCCGTGGGAAGTTTCTTGCATTTTATGGGAGCAAATTCATGGTCACTTCATGACCCTTTGTGGTGCGATTTGCCAAGTGATTTTCGTGGAAAAGGTCATGAAGTTGAAGCAGAAACCAGCTGGATGTGTAACATGTGAAAAAATGTAGCACCTGAATAGATTTGCTGTCATCCAAATAAAACCAAACATTCATTTCGTCATTTAAATAGGCAACGGAAGAAAGTAATTTCACTAGCGAGGTTTACACAATGACATACATGCAATTTAACAACCGATGTTTAGGCAATGACCCATATTTGATTTTTACTTTTAGCAAGCATTTCCATTCCATAAATAAAGTGGTATTCTATTTATTCGTGTAAACAGTTATCTAGATATAGTTGAGATTTCTTTACGTAAAAACCCTCTTTTGAAAATATCAAAAGTTTACTGATTGATGTGGGACAAGTTGCGAACAATTTCCTAGAATGGATCGATCAACAAATGAATAAAGTTTAGCCCGACATTTATCAAAGTGAATAGATAAAAGGTTGACCCGCTACGAGTGAGAGCGACGAACAGTCTAGCATAAATTATGTCAAAACGAATTTTTCATAGCAGTGGAACGGGTTTCAATTACAGGTGCAGGTGAGAACAGATGCTCAAAATGCATTTGTCCAAGTCTTTAAGTTAGCTTTGGAAATGTTCATGTTGATCCTCCACAACCCCTACCGAAATTCACTACTAAATTCCAGAGATTCCCTGCTCAGTCACACCAATTCCCCAAACTCCTTGCCCAGCTTGTGCTTCACATTGCATTCCCCTTCCATTTTAGCATGCAGCAATGTTATCCTGGTGTCATGCTCGCTTCACCTTCCCATTACAATTCCCCGAAGATTCCATTTATTAATGGAAAAGCAAGTCAAGTCGTACTGGATCTCAAATTTCAATCAAAGCACCAGTGTAGGTTGCACGCAGTGGCACCTTCCGCTTAATGCTGACGAAATTACGCGTGCAATAACTCAGCATATTTCAAGCAGTCGGCATCGTTCAAGCGCGCACAGTTGAAAAAGCAAGGACTTTTCTTGTTTTTTGGTCTGTAGAAAAAGCAAGGACTAGGAGCATCTTTATTGCAAGTTGGTTTTCTTTTCTACTTTTTTGTTAAAAGGAAAAGCAAGCCAAGTCAAGAACCACTTGCATTGCTTCCCCGCAACTTCCGCATAATGCTGCGAATATTACTCGTACAATAACTCAGCAGCCCTTAAGCACTCAGCAATCAGCATTGTTTAAGCACGCACAGTAGAGTGTTGTGTGTTGGTAATCCAACGTTGAAGGCTGAGGATTGGGGGAGATCACAGCAGTGGGTGGGTTGTTTTGTTTGAACACTCCTCAGGTAGTCGACAACTCCTTGCCCTTCTGTGTGTCCTGCTTTGATTGCTCCATTATCTTCCGATGAGTTGTCTGAGAGTATCTATTTTTGTTTAATTGTAGCTCCGAGTTTGAGTCCCGCGAGACATTTCTACTATTCCCAGATCTGGGATTTCCATATTTCTCTCCTCCGTTTCCTGCTCCATCAATCTCTTTTACAATCGTCTCGAGATGAAAAGAAAAGAACCCACTCATTCAGAAGATCCAATCTGCAGGGGGTCTTCCTCATCGACCTCTCCACATGTAGGTGATTATGAAGGCGAAACCAAAAGGCCAAAAGGAAATTATTACGAAGTGTTCTTGAGCTTCAGAGGGGAAGACACTCGCAAAGGCTTCACTGATTATCTCTATACTAGCCTTGTCGAGGCAGGAATTTACGTGTTTAGAGATGACAATGAGCTCCGTGTTGGTGAGGAAATTGGTCTGGAGCTTATTTGCAGCATTAAGCAGTCCACGATCTTGATCCCGATTATCTCTGAGAACTATGCTTTCAGCAAATGGTGCCTTCGTGAGCTGGCTCTAATGTTGAAGTGCAAGAGAACCAAAGGGCAAATAGTGCTGCCCATATTTTACAAAGTGAAACCCTCACAAGTGCGCCATCTTACAGGGAGATTCGAAGATGCTATCAAGGCACATAAAGAGAATAGGGATGAAATGGTTTTGAAGGATTGGAAAAGAGCGCTCAAAGAAGTGAAGGAATGGGAAGAAGCGCTCAAAGAAGTCGGTTCTTTGAAAGGATGGGAATCAGAGAAAATTGATAACGGGTACAATTTTTCTCCACTAAATTGTTGTTTAATTTCTCACAAATAGATCTTTTTTGAAAAAGAATATTTATATCCCCTCCTATGCTGAAATTCATTATTATTTGACAGGCATGAAGGAGCATTGGTCAAAATTGTTGTCACAAAGGTTATAAGCGAGTTAAAAAGAACTTTTCAGTTAATTGTTCCCCAACAGTTGGTTGGAATTGATGATCATATCAAAAACATTATGAGCTTCATTGATGCTAAATTCAACGGTACATGGATTATCGGAATTCATGGAATGGGCGGTATCGGTAAGACGACCCTTGCAAAGGCATTATTCAACGAACTCTCCGGTCATTTTGAGAATTGTAGATTTGTGGCAGATTGTCGGGAAACTTATCAGCGCGAGGGTATTAAATGCCTACAAAAGCAAGTCATATCTGGCAATGGAAGTTCATGTGATGTGTCTAATGTGGACGAGGGAATCCGTCTCATCAAATCTAGATTTGCACATAAGAAAGCACTCATTTTTCTTGATGATATAGATGATGCTGCTCACTTGAAATATTTGGTCGACCGTGGTTGGTTTAAAGCAGGAAGTATAGTCATCATAACAACTAGAAACAACGATGTTCTTGGCCAAGTTAGTGCAGACCACATGTACCAACTCAATGAGTTGTCTGTGGATCAATCATTGATTTTATTCAGTAGACATGCATTTCGACAGGATTCTCCTCCGAGTGATTATGAAGTTATCTCTCATGATGTCGTATCTACTACCGACGGGCTTCCCTTAGCTCTTGAAGTAATAGGTTCTTTCTTATGTGGAAAGACACAAGGAGTATGGAAAGATACATCACAGAAATTGAAAAAAGTGCCTCATAAGAAAGTGCAAGATACATTGAGGATAAGTTATGACGCATTAGATTATGAGGACCAACAAATATTTTTGGATATTGCCTGTTTTTTTATCAGATCATCTAAACAATGCCCGATTTATATGTGGGAAAGCTGCGGTTTCTTCCCGAGAAAAGGGATTGAAGTATTGAGTCTCATGTCTCTAATTAAAATTGACAAGGACGGTAATCTAATGATGCATGATCAACTAAGAGATCTTGGAAGAGAAATTGTCCGTCTAGAAAATCCAAAGGAGCCTCAAAAGCGTAGCAGATTATGGATTCATGAGGAAGCCGAAGATGTGCTTGACAGCAACAAGGTAGAGTTTTCTATACTTTATTTAAGTTAGTGGATGTGAGTCCATCTTCTCTCTCTTGTTCGAGATAAAAATTATTGTCAATCCTAAGTTCCCAAATGCCGCTTCTACAGGCATAGAAAAAGAGCTCTTTCAGTTAATTGTTGTTCTTGCCTGATTATAGGACATAATTGAGGAGCAACTTCTTGGTTACATATATAGTTGACGAGGACACTCTCTTTGGTAATTTCAATGCAACAACCAAGCTATAGAAATATAATGTTTGATAGAGCATTTTCAGAGAAAACCTAGCATCTACGAATTCTTGCAAGTCTGATGCACAGTTTGATGTTGGTAGCCATGCTTTTCCCACACGTGTGTCTGATGCATAGTTTTTGATCTTTGGATTCTTCTTTTGATTTCCTGTGAGTCTTTTCTTTCTTTTCTTTTACTAAGGTATTTACTTCTTATGAGTCGTTTGCTATGATAAATGGGACCTCCATTCATTTGTGACAATTAGCTATCTTGATTCCTGTATTTTTCAAATTGGATTAAGCACAAATTTAGTCTCCCAAGTAGAAATGTTTGTGCGATTTAGTCCCCTATCTATTTTTTTCGCACAATATAGTCCTTTATCTTTCAAATTTGTGCAATTGAGTTCTTTGTCATCAACTATTAGTTAACACGATTTTCTAATACGGCTTTTATAATTATTCATGACATATGCCCAATCGTGTACTATAACTCTCTAAATAAATAATATTTTTGTTCTATGGACATTTCATAATAGTGGATAATTTTTTTTCTATGAATTTGCTCACTCTTTTTATTTTTCTGTGACAATGGATATTCCTATTAATCCCTTGATAACATTTATTTGCCGAATATAGCTATCGTTGTATAATAATGATTTCAGCATTGTTCAACTTTTAGTGAGCATCTTATTTAGCAAAGATTTAGTTAATAAAATAACATCAATAGTTTCTAAACTTTAGCCCAACGTGCAATATCATCGTCGGACTTCTAATTCGTTTCATGTGGTACTTGAACTATTCCTAAATGCTCGATGCAGTCGTTTTGTAATAGTTAGATTTAATTCAAAATAAATTGTTTTTACAATCAGAGATAGGTCTTATTACTTTGTAATAGTTAGATGTAAGTCAAAATAAACTTTTTTATCATTAGATCTAAATGTGAAGGTTGTCCATTGTCACGTAAATTTTAAGATGGCATATTTATTGGCGAAAAAGCGGGAAATTGAATTTTATTGATTAGATTAATATGCGTAGTATCAAAAAAAGTGGGTGAATTCAAAGCAATGGCTTATTCCGATACTTTTAAGTTTAATTTTTGTTGTCGTCTAAATAATATGATTTTGAATGTTGTGTGATGATTAATATCCATTATTAGCATGAAAATTAAAAGGTACGCAACTAAAAGCTATCATAACATATGGATGATTTGTACAAGCATGTGCAAATGTGATGAGTATCTTTAATTAAAACAGACTAAATATAAACATTGAGATGCAAAATATAATGAAGTAAGAAAGGAATGTAGAACACGTACGTACTTTTTGCGATGACATTTTCATTTTCATTTTGATATTGAGAATTGCGAACAAGGCACACCAAGAAAAAACAAAAGGGCGCGGGGGGATTGTACAATTGGGATTCTTTAACTTTGATACATGTTCTCGTGGCAAGTTTGATATATGTATTTGGATTGTAAGAGTCGTGTTGTTTTACATATAAATGATATGAGTATGGGTTGTGTTGTTTCCCTTATAAAGGGCATGAATTTCGATAGATATATTCGAAGTAGCGTTTGCAAAAGAGAGGCCATCTATTGAAATTGTGAAAAGGATGCAGCTTCAGGAGTGTTTTTTTTTTGGTCGAACCTTCAGGAGTTCAAGAAGTGCAAATTGTGAAGGGCGTAATTAGAAGAGGAAAAGTTCGAAAGCACCCTCTTGAGCTTCGGATTTTTACATTAATTAGATAAATAATACGCAATTGTAACTTGTCATCTCACGAAATTGAAAGTGAGAAGCCTACACCGTAATAGTATTAACAAATTGAAATGAATTCCTATTTTCTTATATATAGTTGCTCTCATTTCATCATTCAAAACTTATGGTCCACACTATTTTCTTATTGCAGGGCCCTAGTAAGATTGAGGCCATTCATCTATACAAGAGAGGAAGTTACACAGCGGAACAATTTAAAGAACTGACCAACTTGAGGTTCCTTAAAATGATCAATGCGAAGTTCACCGGAGATTTCCATATCGTGCTTCCTCAATTAAGATGGCTTGAGTGCCAAAATTGTCCCTTGGATTTAGAAGTGGCCAGCTTTCATACGAAGAAATTAGTCGTGCTTGATATGTCGTATACTCAGATTTCAGAGGACTGGAGAGGATGGAGTCCACTCAAGGTAAGATGTAGAAAAGGCACATCTCGTGCATTATCACGTATTGTCCACGGGTGCAATCATCCCAAGTTCTCTTTCCTTTCTTTCTGAAAGATTTAATATCCTTCCTCAGATTAAGGATTTTTTTAATATAAGAGGAATTTATAGGCACCTAAATTTAAGCTTCTGCCACTTAATATCTTAAATTGATAACATCTTTACACCCTGTCATGCTTAGCATTAGATATACTAGAAAAAACTTCTTTTTAACTATATTAATTAACATCTATTAAAATTGTAATTACAATAATGTGCCTATCTTGATTTTTTTAATCTAAACGGTTTAAAGCTCCTAAGTTAATTTCTCCCCATGCAAAAGTAGGTCCTTTTAGAGATTCTTGCTATATGTATATATCGATCTTCTTTCATTGAGAAACAAAAACTCCATGACAGTGACTTCTGTTGCACATACATACTGAAATTATAAATTCATTTTTATCATAGAGTAATGGAATAATTTATGAATTGCTCTGACTTGTTGCACAGAAAATTTTGTTCATTATATTTGTTGATTATTGAAGTCACTGTATAACACAATTATAACTTAGTAATGTTGAAAGAGTGACAAAATTATCATTCCAATGGCTTTTCATATTTTTTGATATAACATCTTTTTATATTTTGTACATACAAAATGTAATTTTTTTTCATAATTAAACTAGCCGTTTCTCTTTATTTTCATACTATTGAAGGAAAATATGGCGCCCAATGAATTTATGTTTCTTCCATTTGAATTCGTCATCTGCTTCTTTGATTATAAAATTTGCTCATGTCTAATCAATAAACATATATTTTCTTTGAAGTGTTATCCAAAAATAAATGCAGTCAGCACTTGTATATCCTTAACATTGTTTTTGCATTGGATACGTATAAAAAATGTTTATATGTTGGTGTAGCCAAACACTACTATAAGAAATATATAAAATTAAATAAGACAATTGTGAAGGAGTAATGGAGCATGAGTAATTTGAGGAAATTTTAAAAAGTCTAAAGAAAACGAGGAGCAGTGGAAATTCACACTTTGTAGAGGTCCAATATCACTGAGTTACTTTTTCTTTCTTTTAGATGTCAACTGAGCTCAAAGTTCTCAAGCTCTCATATTGTCAATCTTTGAGAAAAACTCCCGACTTGTCCAATTTCAAAAGCTTGGAGATTTTGATCCTTAAAGGATGTAACAATCTAGAAGAGATTCATCCTTCTATCGAGGATATCAAGACCCTCGTTTCATTGGATGTTAGTTGGTGTGAAAAAGTGAAGAAGCTACCGGCACAGGTAGATAAGATGGAAGAATTGAAGGAGCTCTTCTTAAATGATACTGCTATACTAGACATTCCTATTCCGAGAGATTGTTTGATGAA